CCCCCCCCCCACCGCAGTGTATGAACACTGTGGACAAAGAAGAGCTATCAAAACAGGCATATTCTGGGCACACACCCAACCCCTTGGCCAGGGCATGAGTCTGTCACCAGAGGAACAACACAGATGCTGGGCAGACTATACTAGAGCCACTTCAAAATGCAAGCAAACTCAACACGCCACTGGGAAGCTAATTAATTAATTAATTAATTCATTCATTCATTCATTAATATATGTCCTAAAAGAATGTAAGATAAAAGCAAAAAAATACATATTAATACATGAAGCCTGGTAATCAATATTTATAGATAAATGACTGGTTCTGAGAAGGAGTAAAATCAGAATTCATTTAGGTAAAAATTTCATTTGTTCTTTCATAAAAAACAGTATTTGCTCGTTGGTAAGATAGAAAGAAAAGCAACAACTTGATTAGAAGCCATAAAGTATATAAACTATTTATTGTTGGTCTTTCCACCAATCTCTAGTGTATTATTCCCATGATTGGTCACACCATTCCCAAACAAGAAAGAAGACAATCACACTGATCTATATCAATTCAGGATATTTACTGTATTTCTTATTGTGTTTTTATCCATGGCACCCTTTAATCAAGAATATAAAGTCATCTACTTAGGTTTTACCATTCAAAGTTGGGGACACTCTTAGAATCACATTATCTTAAAGTAATGAAATAGAATAATAAGCAACTAAGTCTGCAAATATAGCAACTGTCAATAACATACATTTTACCAAATTATAATTCTAAGATATGTATTATTCTCTGGACCTCACAAATTCCAAGAAGAGGCCTTTTTACCAGTATTGGGACAGTATGCTTTCAATCCCGCAGCCAGCAAGACTCTTTTAGATAGAGAGCGTGATACAAAAAAAAGCCTCTCTCCTCTAATACCATACATGACACAATTGTAGTTGTACCTAAACAGAAAGGGAGCTTCGATGCTAACTATCACCTAAAAATACACATCAGTTCCTATATATATCTGGTGCCAGAGGAATGATATATTGCACTGTACTATGCCTACATCTGCCTGGAGAAAGCTGTCTGACCTGTCTTCAGGGTACCTGGTCTATTTCTCCCATTTGATACCTAGGATGCCTGGGATGCCCACAGGGTGACTATTTGGTAGGGAGGATACTTCTGAGGAAAAGTTCCTTACAAAACCCACTCTACCATGTTTCTTTTCTTTTCTTACGTTTATCTAAGAGGGGGAGAGAGAGAGAGAGGGAGGGGGAGGGAGAGAGAGAGAGCGAGCATGCATGCGCACAGACACACATATGTGATCAGGAGAGGGGCAGAGAGAGACGAGAGAGATTCCTAAGCAGGTTCCATGCTGTCAGCACAGAGCCCCATGTGGGGCTTGATCTGATGAACTGCGAGATCAAGACCTGAGCTGAAATCTAGAGTCAGATGCTTAACTGACTGAGCCACCCAGGCACCCTTACCATGTTTATTTTATAACACTAAAAGTTCCCTGCTCTTCAAATCCTAGATTTACTTATCAGTATTTCCTTTATTTGGATAAAGCTGAATTAAAAGTAGTTTGTTCAAGGAAGTAGCCTTGGCAGAAGAAAGAATAGTGCTCTGTAGAAAAAGGCATTCAATATTTAGAAACTTTTCTGAACAGGGGTGCCTGGGTGACTCAGTCAATTGAGCATCCGAATTTGGCTCAGGTCATGATCTCACGGTTCGTGAGCTCGAGCTTCATGTCAGGCTCTGTGATGAGAGCTCGGAGCCTGGAGCTGCTTTGGATTCCGTGTCTCCCTCTCTCTGCTGCTCCTCTGCTTGTGCTCTCTCTCTCTCTCAGAAATAAACATTAAAAATAAAAATAAAAAAAATAAGTTTTTCTGAACAAAAATAAGAGATCCTGAAAAGAAAGAAAAAAATATTTTAAACTCTGTTGTCACTGTGACAGGATTCATGATAAATTATCCCATAGCCCCTTGTGGCTTAAAAGGAAGTCTTGAAGGAGTAGCCCACTGTACCTCAATCACATAGAGAAAGCCTCTTAAGGACCCCTCTGGATACACAGAAATACTGCATTATTTTAAAATGAGAAAACTGACTAGATCAGTTAGGTTTATAGCCCTCTTCTCATAATAAACCTTCATCTTTGGCAAAGCACAAATGGTTGCTTGGTTTATAAAGGCAACTTGTTGGTGAGACGTCAGCACCAGCAGACCCTACACACTCTGGTCTCTCCCATGAACCAGTTACTTCTCCCACACAGAGATGTTCCTGTTTGCCTTACTGAACATCGATTTAGTTGTAGAAAGTGTGGGAGGAGAAGGGATGCTTTAGGGAAACAAGATGCAATCACAAAATCAGAGGCTCTAAAAGAAAAGTCAGAGGAGGCCAAAAGAAAAACGTAATCATTAAGACAGCATTTCTCCTACTCAAATTCACACAGATGTTATCATTCAGCACTAGTGCAATGCTGCCTTGGGTATACTCTGGGTGGAGTTCTTTATCTCCCTCATTCTTTTTTTCTATACGTGATGATTTAGTTGGGAGGGGCAGCACATCAGTGAAAGTCTTCCTAAGGGCCCATCTTGGTACAATTTTGTGTACATATCACAAAAGGTAAAGATAAATCCAATGTGAGCACCAATTGTAAAGATAAGCCTTCAAAGCAATCATAAAACAAGATAATCATTTATATTATATA